TTTAGATGAACGAGTGCCCTTTATGTGATCATGTTTTAGAGTTATCTATACCTTTTCGTCGACAATGAGCAAATTCCTTTTTTAAGTAGACAGGTATTTAAGATAAATGTTCTGAGTTTCTTGTTATCCCAAATTTGTTTATTTGCTTTAAAAATACTTTGTTTTAAATTTATATCAACTAACCATATTAAAGGAATGTTTATATGCTGCTTAGAGTGAATCACCTATTTAGAATTTGCCACCATGTCATACAATACTGTAACGTAGCTGTTCATACCACCCAAATAGAGCTGTGTATTGGCACTCGAAGCCAAATTTATTTATAGTTTTAAACTCAAACCTTATTCGTCTCTGGACTTATATTCTGTGACTTTTATTCCTGCTGATGGAGCTGTGAAGACTCATACGCGGTATTAACTGGGGTTTTCTTTTGATGAAAAATCGTGCAGATTTCTTAGACACTTCAAGCATTCTCTGTGGGTATATTTGCTCTCGTTGCCTGTAAAATGAAATGCATTTTTCATTTTTATTCCTTAAAGCGAGACTCATTATTCTTCTCTAGCGAGTAAATCAATATGGTCGTACCTATTTTTATGTTTTGAATCCATGCTTCTCATTAACATTTGATCGATCCATTAGATACCAATTTTGAGGCCCTTAAGATTGTTGGGAATTAATACTTTTGAGGTTTTTTATTAAAGCTTTCATGTCCAAATTTCTGGATGCCTCTAATGATCCTTTATCATTTTTATTAACTGGTTTAATTGGTTGAGTTTATATATCTCAAGGGTCTGCTCGTGGGCACTCATAACTAACGAAAATCACTGAGTCGTTTAAATACTTTACTTTTTGCTAAACTTATAGTCTTATAACATTTTATGTATGATTTGATTTCTTAAATCTCTTCGTCATTCCAACTTTTTATCAGGTCTGTGATTTTGGTATCTCTGCGGAGCTGGTCGATAGCCTTGCCCAGAGTAATGTCGGTACCCAAAATTATCTCGCTCCCGAACGGATCAGTCCCAGGGAGCGCTCTGGTTATCGGATCCAGTCTGATGTCTGGTCACTCGGCCTGAGTGTTCTTGAGATGGCTATTGGAGAACATCCTTATCCTAAGACGGTGGATTTTTTTCATCAGCTAGATCAGGTACATGGTAATCGCGTCTGTAAAGAAATACTGAGAGATGAACCATTGGTTCTCAGGGTTTCTTAATGTTTTTCTTTCATATGGTTTTTTGGTATATAACCTTATTTTATTTTAGTTTTGACTAATTCAAAGGTAATCTTTATTACCTCTGACTTCTTTGAAAACTTCAGAGGGCAGTTTTAAACACTTTTTAGTCGAACTATTTTTTGGGAATATA